TTATTTCTTTCTTCCAAAGAAGAATGTGAGCTCCTGTTGGCCAGAGACCTGGTCTGTCTCAGTTCCTACAATATGCTCAGGATCTACCAAAGTATCTGAATTTGTAGGCTGAATGGGCAGCTATTTTTGTGCCAGGTATTTTGCATTAATTTTTTTTTGTAATAGAAGCATTTATATGCCCATTTTGTAATAAGTAAAAAGTAGTATAATCAAGTGATTTGTAAAGCAGCAAACAGATTGTATATGGAAGGCTGATCTGGAAAATCAACCACTTTAAATTGATACTATAGCCTGTCTTGTGATGTAATGGTATAGCTGCGATAGAGGTGAAGAAATCAGGAAATAGTAGATGATCTGCCAGAGAACGTAATTGGGAAATGGCAAATAATCGCCAGGCTTTTAGGGCTAAAGTGTGGGAATGAAAATTCTTAAGACTACAAGAAAAAGTTATTGGGAATACAATTGAAATCAACATCAAAGTGATGAGAACCTTGTCGGAGCATCAGTGATCAAGAGCCTCAGAAAGAGGGTAAATCAGAGGTGAAACATTAAGTACTCAGTTACTCATCATGCCCCAAGCCCAGGCTAAGTCATTGGTGTGGACCCATGGCTACTTCTGCACTACATTGATGACTGTAAGGTCTCTCCAGGGATTTCCCATGATATGGCCAGATTGACCTACTGGAAGCAACTGTAGTCAATTGAGAGATATTGTTGAGTGACTAATAAATGAATAGATGGATGGATGGATGGATGGATGGATGGATGGATGGATGGATATATGGATAGGTGGGTGGGGGGTGAATGAATGGGTGAAAGGGTGGATGAGTGGATGAGTGGGTGGAAGGATGGACAAATGAGTGACTGGGTAAATAGATGGGTAGGTGGGTAGATAGATGGATGAAGGGGTGGGTAGACGAATGAATGGAAGGGTTGGTGGTTGGATGGATTAATAGATAGATGAATGGATGGATGGGTGGTAGGGTGAATGGATGGACAAAGGGGTGAATGAATGGATGGATGGAAGGGTGGGTGGAAAGTTGGATGGGTGTGTATGAGAATGGATGAAAGTGTGGGTGGATGGAAGGATGGAAGGATGGATGGGTGGATGGAAGGATAGATGGATGGAAGGATAGATGGATAGATGGATGGAAGGATGGATGGATGGATGGATGGATGGATGGATGGATGGATGGATGGATGGATGGATAGATGGATAGATGGATGGATGGATGGGTGAGTTGATGGATAGATGGATAAGTGAGTGGATGGATGGGTGAATGAGTGGGTGGGAGGGTAGATGGTTTGGTAGGTGGGTAGATGGGTGGGTGGGTTGATAGATGGGTAGGTGGATGGATAGACGGATGGGTGGGTAGATAAATGGGTAGATGAAAGTGATGCAAAATTATTCTTTATCCCTCTTCCTTGGGATCTCAAGTCACTTATGTTACAATCCTCCCATGTGCATCCTCTCACTGTGGTCCTCATCATTTTTTAATTTCAGTTACCTGCACCATGCCTGCCATATTTTCCCACACAATGGGATCTCTTAGCCCCATCCTCCATTATTTGCCATTCCTACATCCCTCATAGAGCACTGGACACTCTTTCTGGCTTTTCTTCTGTGGCATAAAGAAATATAAATTTTCATTTATGTCTGAACAGCAACTGTGAAGCTCATTGTCTTTGTGACATCGGGGAGGTCACCTAGTCTCTATAAGCAAAATTAGTAACACAACCACCCTCACAGGAAGTGAAGACTGAATGAGTTAGTGGAGGCAAGTTACCTGTCGTGGAGGAACATAGAAAATGCTGGATACATGTCAAATGCCAGTGTTATCACTCTATGCTCACTTGTCACCCAGATCTCCAACTTGTTGCTGGGGAAGGAGGCCAAGTGTGATGAATCACTCAGGTAATACACACTGCCATTACTTGTCACATCCGAGAGCATGAAATCTGTCTGTTTTTTTCTTACTTGCCTGACTTGTAATGGTTCTGGGATCCCCATTTTCAGCAGAGCAATTACAATACATTCAGTTCCATTGTATGGAGTGAGACATCAAAGTGTCCTGAGACCTGGAGTCATCCCAGGGTCTACATTGACTGAGAGCAAAGGTTCTGGGAGTGACCTTGAAGAGAACAAGGCAATGGAGGTAAAGAGAAGGGCTAGGACTTTTCCATTTTCTTTTCTCTCTCTCTCTCTCTCTCTCTTTTTTTTTTTTTTTTTTTTGACGGAGTCTCGCTCTGTCGCCCAGGCTGGACTGCAGTGGCATGATCTCGGCTCACTGCAAGCTCCGCCTCCCGGGTTCACGCCATTCTCCTGCCTCAGCCTCCATAGTAGCTGGGACTACAGGCGCCCGCCACCACGCCCGGCTAATTTTTTACATATTTTTAATTCACCATGTTAGCCAGGATGGTCTCGATCTCCTGACCTTGTGATCTGCCCGCCTCGGCCTCCCAAAGTGCTGGGATTACAGGTGTGAGCCACCGTGTCGGGCCCGCTTTTCCATTTTCTACTGCACTTGGGGACTATCTCGTCCACCTCTCTGTATTAACCACCATGTCTTTCATTTTCTGCATTTGATGCTTTGACATCTTGGGGCCTTGCTGCCCTTGGTGGGACCACCCCTCCCAGGGTTAGTTAATTTCTAGAGCCAGTAAACCACTTGTCCTCAATATGTCCCTCAAATGCAAGCCAATAGATCCAGAGCCCTCACTGCCAACCACCTTCATTATGAGGCTCTCACACTCAAGGTGAAAGTTGTCCTCTCCTAATCACCCCAGGTCCAAGAACTAGACAACCAGGGACAGTCTCTATACCCCAAAGCCCATTCTTTTTTTTTTTTTTTCTTCTTTTTTCTTTCTTTCTTTTCTTTTCTTTCTTTTTTTTTTTTTTGAGACAGGTTCTCATTCTATCACCCAGGCTTGAATGCAGTGGCACAATCTTGGCTCACCGCAGCCTCTGCCTCCCGGGTTCAAGCAGTTCTCGTGCCTCAGTCTCCCAAGTAGCTGGAAGCACAAGTGCACACCACCACACCCAGGTAATTATTGTATTTTTGTAGAGATGGAATTTCGCCATGTTACCCAGGCTGATGTCAAACTCCTGACCTCAGGTGATCCGCCCTCCTCGGCTTCCCAAAGTGCTAGGATTACAGGCATGAACCACCACACCTGGCCAACTCTAATCTTGTTCTCCCCACAAAATACAATCAAAGCTCTGGCCCACAGTTCTTCCTCCTTCCTCTGCCCCTGATTGACCCTGGTGCTTCCCTCATACCCCCACCCCCATAGTATAGCCTTCCCCCTCCTCTTGGGAACTGTAACAGATCATCTTTTCCATGGCAATCATCGCTTGGTTTGTCAGTCTTACCATACCCTAATTTTCTATTAACCATATTCTACACCACTCTCCCACATCCACATCATTAGGACCCTCTCAGAATCCCTGTCCCTGATGAGAATCTTGCCCCACGTTCGGGTTCCCATTTCCACACTGAAGGTATTCCATCTATCCTTTTTTTTTTGAGACGGAGTCTTGCTCTTTCATCCAGGCTGGAGTGCAGTGACACAATCTCGGCTCATTACAACCTCTACCTACTGGGTTCAAGTGATTCTCCTCCTGCCTCAGCCTCCCTAGTAGCTGGGATTACAGGTGCCCACCACCACACCCAGCTAATTTTTGTATTTTTAGTAGAGTTGAGGTTTCACCATGTTGGCCAGACTGGTCTCGAACTCCTGACCTCAAATGATTCGCCCACCTCTGCCTCCCAAAGTGCTGGGATTACAGGCGTGAGCCACCGCACCGTGCCCAGCCTGCATCTATCTTTTTGTCTCCTGGGTTCCTTCTTCCCCAGCCATGTCCCACAACAGGAAAAGAAATACGTGCATCAGGCAGGCTTTGGTGACTCACGCCTGTAATCCCAGCACTTTGGGAGGCCAAGGCAGGAGGATCACCTGAGCTCAGGAGTTCAAGACCAGCCTGGGCAACATAGATCCTGTCTCAACAAATACTTTAAAAATTAGCCAGGCGTGGTGGTGCTTGCCTATACTCCCAGCTACTTGGGAGGCTGATGTGGGAAAATTGCTTGAGCCTGGGAGGTCGAGGCTGCAGTGAATTGTGTTCATGCCACTGCACTCCTGCCTGGGCGACAGAACGAGATTCTGTCAAAAAAAAAAAAAAAAAAAAAAAAGCAGCCAAGCGCAGTGGCTTACTCCCGTAATCCCAGCACTTTGGGAGGCTGAGGTGGGCAGATCACTTGAGGTCAGCAGTTTGAGATCAGCCTGACCAACATGGTAAAACCCTGTCTCTACTAAAATACAAAAATTAGCCCGGTGTGGTGGTCCACCCCTGTAGTTTCAGCTACTCGGGAGGCTGAGGCAGGTGAATTACATGAACCCAGGAGGCGGAGATTGCAATGAGCTGAGATCACGCCACTGCACTCCAGCCTAGGCGACAGAGCAAGACTGCCTCTCAAAAAAAAAAAAAAAAAAAAAACACGCCGGGCACTGTGGTTCATGTTTGTAATCCTAGCCCTTTGGGAGGCCAAGGCAGATGGATCACCTGAGATCAGGAGTTTGAGATCAACCTCACCAGTATGGTACAACCACGTCTTTATTAAAAATACAAAAATTAGGCCAGGCACGGTGGCTCACACCTGTAATCCCAGCACTTTGGGAGGCCGAGGCAGGCGGATCACGAGGTCAGGAGATGGAGACCGTCCTGGCTAACACGGTGAAACCCCATCTCTACTAAAAACACAAAAAGTAGCCAGGCATGGTGGCGGGAGCCTGTAGTCCCAGCTACTCGGGAGGCTGAGGAGGAAGAATTGCTTGAACCCAGGAGGCAGAGGTTGCAGTGAGCCGAGATTGTGCCACTGCACTCCAGCCTGGGCAACAGAGCAAGACTCTGTCTTGAAAAAAAAAGAAAGGAAAAAAAAGCAAAGCAAAACCGAAGAAATGTGTGCATCAAGGAGCACATCTGAGGCTACCCTTCTCACCTGTGATCACCAGTTGCAAGTGTTCACTGCTTTCTGACCACTCATGGGAGGCTGTTGTCTTATAGGCACAAAAGTAGCTCCCAGCATCCTTAAGCTTCAGGTCCGTGAAGTGGAATTCAGCTTCGTCTTCTGTCGAGAACTGTTCCTGCTTGTACCCAGAGTCATTCACCTTGAGCAGAATGAATGTCACATTCTTGGAAGGAGCCTGACACTTCAGGGTCACGTTGCTCCGGGCTTCAACCACCAAGCTAGGCCGGGCGTGGAGGGAGGGCTTGGGCAGTTTCTCTGGAAAGAATTCAGAGTTAATTTGAGTCTAGAATTCAGATGATTAAAGGAAAAGGTCATGAAGTGTGGGATGCAGGAATAAATAAAGTTTAAGTGGGAGAAAACTCACCATTCTTTTTCTCATCTTCGTAGCCCAGACACAGTCCTGGAAGAGAAATCTCAATGAGAGAAAAATTATGTGCTTGTCTTTGAGTACAAATCCAGCAGAGAACAATGACTAGCTCATTATAGGTCTAATATATATAATATGTATTATGTATATATGTATTATACATAATACATATATTAACTATATGTACACATATTACATATAATACATATATAAATATATCTATTAAATGTATGTATTACATGTATGTATATATTTTTGGCAGCTATCTCCCCAGACTTACCTCTTACTTTTGTTCCATTGTTTGTCATTCAGAAGCTATGTGTATATAGAAAATTCCAGCAACTTTTTTTTTTTTTTTTCTTTTTGAGATGTAGTCTTACTCTATTGCCCAGGCTGGAGTGCAATGGCACAATCTCAGTTCACTGCAACCTCCGCCTCCCAGGTTTAAGTGATTCTCCTGCCTTAGCCTCCCGAGTAGCTGGGACTACAGGCGCCCGCCACCATGCCTGGCTAATTTTTGTATTTTTAGTAGAGACAAGAGTCTCACCATATTGGCCAGGCTGATCTTGAACTCCTGACCTCAGGTGATCCACCTGCCTCGGCCTCCCAAAGTTCTGGGATTACAGGTACGAGCTACCGCACCTGGCCTGATGTATTGAATTGCTTTCACGAGTAATCATTCTTTCACTATCTAGAAATTGTTCAACATTCACCTATGCTTTTTTCTTGTATTTTCTGTGATTGCAGTATTTTGTTTGCTTTGTTTCGTTTTGAGACAGAGTCTCGCTGTGTCACCCAGGCTGGAGTGTGGTGGTGCAATCTCAGCTCACTGAAACCTCCTACACCCCCTGGGTTCAAGTGATTCTCGTACGTCAGTCTCCAGAGTAGCTGGGACTACAGGTGTGCACCACGATGCCCAACTAATTGTTGTTGTTGTTGTTGTTGAGATGGGGTTTCGCCATATTGCCCAGGCTGGTCTCAAACTCCTGACCTCAAGTGATCCGTCTGCCTCAGCCTCCCAAAGTGCTGAGATTACAGGCATGAGCCACCGTGCCCGACCTGATTGCAGTTTTTACCCTTGCCACTTAAATAATGCAAACGTTATTTTCCAGTGGAAAGGGGAGGGTTTTCTTGCTCAATTCCAATAGAGAGAATCTGCTCCCCCTTCCCCGTGTCTTCTGGTTCCAAGTACTCCCCTCACTTTAGCTTTGGTTTCCACTTACATCATCCCCTCCCTCTTCTATGTTCTGTTCTCTATATTCCCTGCGGGGAAGGGAGCGTCATAAACTTGCGTGGAAAATGGGATGTCAGTCATGGGGCTTGTTTCAGGGTGAAGTTAGGTAGAATTTAGGTAGAATTTCTCTAGAGCCACGAGAGTGTCTCAGGACATTGGTTCCTTGTTGACGCAGGTACCGACGCAGAACGTGACCCCACACCAAGCTTCACCACAAAGGAATGAGGTGGAGGCCTCACGATGGACCGAGGCTGCGTTGGCAGCGAGATTGGCTGGGATTGGCAGGTAGGAAACAGCCTCTGGATGGCAGGGCATCCCAGGACTCAGGCTCTCTTTTGAGACCCTCCCCAAATCCCGCTTTTAGACTCATGTCATCTCATCTCTGCTATCCATCCATCGTCTGTTCAAACAGTGATTCCTATATTCTTTTTCTTTTTGAGATAGGATCTCACTCTGTGGCCCAGGCTGGAGTGCTGGAGTGCAGTCACAGCTCGCTGCAGCCTCGATCTCCTGGGCTCAAGTGATCTGCCTGTCTCAGCCTCCCAAATAACTGGGACTACAGGCATGTGCCACCAGGCCTGGCTAATTTTTAATTTTTTTTTTTTTTTGTAGAGATGAGGACTCACTGTGTTGTTCAGGCTAGTATCAGGCTCCTGGGCTCAAGCGATCCTCCTGCCTTGGCCTCCCAAACTGCTGCGATTACAGGCATGAGCTACCTGCAACCAGCCCAATTCCCATATTCTTTTTCTTTTTTTGACATGGCATCTCCCTCTGTCACCCATGCTGAAGTGCTGTGGTGTCCTCTCAGCTCACTGTAACCTCTGCCTCTCAGGTTCCAGCGATTTTCCTGCCTCAGCCTCACGAGTAGCTGGGATTACAGGCACCTGCCACCATGCCCAGCTGATTTTTTGTATTTTTAGTAGAGATGGGGTTTCGCCATGTTGGCCAGGCTGATCTCAAACTCCTGACCTGGAGAGATCTGCCCACCTGGGCCTCCCAAAGTCCTGAGATTACAGGTGTGAGCCACCACACCCAGCTGATTTGCATTTCTTGAAAAGAGAAGCTCAAGTTGTAACTCCCAGGACCTCTGAATGTGACCTTATTTGGAAATACCATTATCTGATCTTTGCAGATGTAATTAGTTAAGCTAAGATGAGGTCATACTGGCGTAGGCGGGGCATCTAGTCCAATATAACTTACAAGAAGAGAAAAAGAGAGAGAGACACGCAGAAAGAAGGTGGCCATGCAAAGACAGAGGCAGAGAGGCCAGGCTGCAATCACAGTGCTTTGGGAGGCCGAGATAGGAGAATTGCTTGAGCTCACGACTTGGAGACTAGCCTGGGCAATACGAAAGACCCCATCCTCTGCCAAAAAAAAAAAAAAATTATCTTTAATTACCCAATATTGGGTGGTGTGCACCTGTTAGTTGTAGGCTGCTCAAGAAGGCTATATGGGGAGGGGGTGGTAGGATTGCTTGAGCCCAGGAGCTGAAGACTAGCCTGCGCAATATACAAGAACCCCATCTCTGGAAAAAGAAAATTATTTTTACTTAGCCCAAGATTGGTGGTGCACACTTGGTAGTTCTAGCTACCTCAGAAGGCCAGTGGGGAGGCATTTGCTCGGTCCAGGAAATTGGAGACTAGCCGGGCAATCTAGCAAGGACTTCCATCTCTAAAAACAGAAATTACTTTAATTAGTCCAACATGGTGGTTTGCAACCTGTATGTGTTACGGCCTCAGAAGGCTGGCGGGGAGGATTTGCTTGAAGCTCAGTGAGGTTGAAGGACTGCATGAGCTATGGTGGTACCCACTGCACTCCGGCCCTGCGTGACTGAAAGTGAGAACCCCCCTGTCCTTAAAAAAAAAAAAAAAGACAGAGCCAGCAATTTGAGTGATGGATCTACAGTTAAAGAATGCCAAAGGGCAGGCAATGGTGGCTCAAGCCCTGTAATCTCAACACTTTAGGAGGCTGCGGGGAAGGGGGTGGATCGACACCTGACGGAGTCGAGGAAGTTCGAGGACCAGCCTGGCCAAAAACGGTTGTGAAACCCCGTCTCTATCTAAAAATACAAAAATAGCCAGGCGACGGTGGCCCATGGCCTGTAATCCAGGACTACTCGGGAGAGGCTAAGGGCAGGAGATAATGCTTGACCTGGCAGGTGGGAGGTTGGCCAGTGGCCGAAGATCATGCCACTGCACTTAGCCTGGGTGAACAGACAGAGACTCTTGCCTCAAAAAAAAAAAAAAAAAAAAAAAAAAATGCCAAGAATTGTCCAGCCACACACTAGAAAGAGGGGGGCAATAAAAACAGATTCTCCCTCATAGCCCTCAGAAAGGAAAAAATCAACATTGCCAAACCACTTTGGTTTCAGACTTCTCATCTCCCCCAACTGCGAGAGAAGTGCAATTTTAGTTGCTTA